AGTTTAGTTGCTAGATAATGATTTCAACAATGGAAGTAGGGATAGACAGACCGACCCGGGTTGATATCTAAATACTTTCCCTATACTGCACCCGATTAGAGTTTTAAAACTTGAGCTCTAATGGGGGTTTAATTGTGGTATAGTTTCGTGCGAGTCAGATGTTCATACTCCAACTCTGGGCATGGGAGCATCTTCTGATGTTTGCACCTCGAGACCCGCGAGAATTCTAGTTGCCAAATGAGGAGCTACGAGATCTAGCAAATCCCCCTATGGTGTCAAGTAAGTTTAATTTACATGCTAATTTTATTCCAAGTATGCAATTTTAGTATTTTAGTGAATTTAGATACATTCCAAGTGGAGCGAATTTAGTGAATTTAGATTATTGCCAAGTTTTTAGGGAATTTAGATTCATTCCAAGTATGCAATTTTAGTGAATTTAATTGCTTCGACCACCAGCTTGAGCACTCTTTACTGTTTTATCGTGCTGAGTTTGATAAGCCTTGGTGGAACCAGGTAAATATGTCAAATTTCATCATTTAAAATTTTTTAAATGGTGTGGATATAATTTGCTAATTCCAAATCATTAATGAGTGTAGGTGACATGGGATCCATATCCACCTGAAGTGGTCGGGATGCAACGTCTTAGACACCCCGAGGATGAAGAGACGTGGTTGTGCACGGTGCCCTTGATCTGTAGGCACATGCTGAAGTGGCACCTGCCGGATCAAGCCTTGAGGCAATATCGGATGGAGAAACCAATTTCAGGGAGCTCCATGCCATCGACCTACGCTACAAATCAAAGGATTGGATTCGCAAACATGAGTTCTACATCAGCATTTGGGAGAATAGAGCGACTTGGGTTGTTCGAGGGTTACCGGAGACGAGGCCAATGGGGTACCACGATGGGTACATGGTGTGGTATCGAAAATTTACACTTAGATGGGTGTCAAAGCAAGGTGGTGTGTGGGGAGCGGTGGTAAGTGATACCAATTCTTACTCTTCGTCTTATTCTTTTGTCCCTAGATTACATGCGTAGATTTGATTAATGGCAATTAACTTGATTAGATTCATTTTATTTCATCTTACAACTTATTCGTATTAGGTTGATGGCTTGGAACATGCCAAGCACATGTCGATAGTGCACCCACCATGGACGAGTGGAAGACATCTTTCCTGCGGAGGCTTTTCAACAACCTGCCCAGCTGTACTCAAGAGCAAAGGAGGGATGTCATCGTATACCCTCAAGTGCCTGCTCCGGATCGACCTTTCTTCCGTGATGATGAGCCCATTGTGCCCCCAGCTGAGGCCCCACGGAGGAGTAAGAAAATGGTCCAGCCAAACATTGAAAAGATTCGTCGAACTACCTCCTCCGTATAGTTGCTTGCACCTCCACCGCAGCACAACCCTCCTGCAGAACTACCTCCTTCGTAGTTGCTTGAACTACCACCCCAGTCGTACCCTCCTGCAAAACCATCATCACAAGAACACTGGTGAGAATGAGTTTCACTGACCGGCTCGGTCTCGACATACACCTCTGCAAGCCACAACCCGTTGTCAGATAGGAACTGTATCATCATGTTCACCGCGTCATCATCATTTATGACAACTTCTTCGTACATAACTCCGCTAGCACTCATGTTTGGATATCAATAAGTAATTTGATCAACTATCGCCTGTCCGCCCATACAAATCCTTTATGCACAAATGTTACGGAGTTCTTCCCACATGAATCTCGACTCAATTTTTAGCATTGTGGATTCGCCATCTTCATAATCGATCCCAATGTCCGAGTTTTTTACCCGACCGCCTCACCGAATAATAAGCCGAAACTTCTTTAATTTACTCATGTCTGCAATTTATAATAAGTAACTATTAGCTTAACTCGAATAAGATTAGTATAGTATAATTAGTACTTAGGCTACTAAAATAATATCATCCAAACCCATAAACAACTGCAACTAACTAATCTAACATGAGTATACTAAACAAAGTCATCTGAATTCATAACTAACTAACATCAATCATACCATAATTAATCTAAATATCTCTAACATAACATATTTGCCACTAACCGCAATTCACTAAATAGAGACATATAATTATTAAAACATCATAATGTAAACAATACATAATTATAACATACCGAATCCCGGTGAGTTTCTTTATTCGCAATTGCTGTAAGCCAACTCAGAAAATGAATTTTGCACTAATTTTGGTTTGAATTGTTGTAAGCCAGCTGCAGGTACGTGAGGGATGGGTTTTTATAAGCAAACCATATGGGTTGTTCACCACAGTCGACAGATGCAGTGAACATATCACCGCTGTCGACGAGAACGGTGAATGCTAGGTCATTGTGACCTAATTTTCAACCTACCAGGGTTGGAAACATGGTAAAAGATCACTGTTTTGGACAACAGCGGTGATCTATTCACCGTTTTTCACTATCGCGGTGATGTATTCCCCGTTATAGACCAATGCAGTGACTAGTTCACCGTGTTTGACTGCAACGATGACATTTTCATCACTGTCTTAGTTCATGACGGTGATGATCAAACTGTTGTATTTTGATAAATATTTTTATAACTACTGTATTTTGGAAATATTTTTAATAACTAGTGTATTCTGGGATTTGTTTTCGTAGGTATTAGGCCAGACTCACATGGAACTATATATATTCTTTTAATGATTTTAGATTTGAGTTGGATTTGAATTGAGACCTATTTGGATTATACTCAATGTGTCTAATTGGGTTTAGAAGATTGTTGTTTCCACAAAAAACAATAACAATAGTTTCATTAACTACTTTCAGCCTAATTATACTTAGTTCGCTCGGGCTATTTAGAGTGGCGACCGAAACAATCTACCCAACAAGTTGAACATTATGTACCATTCAATTGGAAGAGATTGTGGTATCTGCAACTCCCACCTAAGGTTCGAGTCTTTGTCTTGAAATTGGGATCTAATCCTACACATAGGATCTAAACTGGAACGACGAATCAAAGATGCGAGCAATGAATGCCCTTTTTGTGATTTCACTGAGACACATGAATACAAAGACAAGACAGTGAAGGATGGATTTGCGAGGTGCTTGACAAAGCTAGTGATGAGGAGCTCTGTGCTATACTAATTACAATACAGACCAATTATAAAAAAAATAATCATCATCAAAATTTAGTTTAAGTATCGGATCCGATCCCACTTCCATTGGCCATTGTAACATGTGGGTTTACCATACAACCTTCTTGGTCTCTGGGTCGAACTTTGGTACTCTGCTCTCTCTCAGTCCCTGCCTACCTTCATCTCGGATCCTATCCATAATTCAAGGCAAGATGGTGGGACAAAATGGAGAGGGTAAAAAGAGAAAAGTTACAAGAGAAATTAGAACAAAAGGAGCCTAAAAAGAAAGAAGAACACAAAGGAAAAAAAGGCAATCTTCTATCTTTAAGCCCACTAGTAGGACTTTAATTCTCAACTGTGCAAAATTTATGAAACTTTCTAATATGAATTTTTTTGTTGACATATATTGTTGATTATATTAGAGACAATAGTAACATGTATATCTTGTCTGGACTATAAAAGCAATAATCTCTCCTACCAAGCTTGATCCCACTCTCATACCTCTGTTCCTGAGTTATAGAGTAAAAGGTATTGGACCATTATGTTTTGGTGGGGAGAAGAACAAACAAAAAGGGTGATAGTAACGACAGAACCATTATATGTCTAAATTGAGGAAATAGCGAAAGAATTGTTGATGGAGAATTCATGTGTGTTGTCGGTCACATGCAGACAAGCACAGGGATTACTGGAAAGACGAAGTGAACTGGAAAAGTTGGGGAGGGAAGAAAAAAGAAAAGAGTCTTTCAATTCAACAAAGAATAGTGTTAAAGGTTGTCAATTTGATTTACCTCTTACAGTGATCGAGCAAGTGAGCGGAGGGTTAATAGTTTGATTGCTTTAGCCTTGTTTAGTTTTGATATTTGAAAAAAGTTATTGTATTGTTAATACGTTTATAAATTATATTAAATCTCGTCTAACAGGTAACATCGTACCAAAACAATAGTTCGTATTTAGATCCAACATATAGTGAAAATTCAAACACACTCATATAACATCAATTGTTAGTGGGTGATATAAGATTCATTATTGAACCTCTTCCAACAACTCAAGTTATTGGGATCAACTGTGTGGAGTTATTTGGATCAACTGGTTCTTTACATATCCAAATGATCAATTTAGAATTCCAAAAGTAATACTAGACAAAAAAGAAAACCGAAAAAGAAGTGCAATTCACAAATAAAAATAAAAACAATGTATGACTTCTAACACATGAACATTCCTGCGGATCGACCTTCCTCGCCGGATAAATCGAGATCACCCCGCAGTTGACAACCTTGGATAGAATCTTGTAAGGAAACGAAAAAAGAAAAAGGCTGAGAAGCAATCAAGCAAAGCTTCTGCTTCTTTAATCATGTTACAACAGGCTCCCCTTCTTTCTATCATTGTTTTCCCCCTTATTCTATCTTCTTTGTCCTCTCTCTAGTCACACTGTTTGGGATTGTTCTTCTTCTTCTTCTCTTATCTCCTTACTAAACAGTTAGCAGAGTGATGAAGAAGCATGATGAACTTCCCACTGTCTTCTTCAATGGTTCCCCACCCACACCTTTAATGCAACAGCGTAATAATGTTTTACCCCCACTTCTCTCCCAACAGTGGGGCTGACATTTACCGCAAATTCTGCGAATAACATCTCCCTCTTACAAATTCACAGATACCCTTTTCAAACTGTTGGAAACTGGAACCGGCAGTGTCATAAAAATAACACTGTTTACTGGGCTGAAATTGACCCTTTGTTGTTCTGTCTCGTTAATGCTCTGGTCCAGAGGTCTTTCAAGTATTTAGTTGTTTGTGGTGCTTTCAATGCCAGAGGATTTTGGCGTCGGGTTTTCCATTTTCCGAATCAAGAATAGGGAAGCGTTTGCGTAGAGGACAAAGTGTACATAGTAAATAACTGTGCAGGAGTCAAAAATTGATGATCCAAGTGAAAACCCAAACAGACTTAATGTGCACAATACCACATCTGAGAGACCTGACAGCTCCACAAATATGATCGCTTGTTTCCTCTTCTTTTATGGTCAAGAGAATATCTTTGTTTTTATTTTCTTCTTTTATTGCAGGTACAAAATCACAGTTAACTGTTGGATCCAGAATTGTCCCTTCCAAGTTCCAATTGTCTTTCCACTTGGGCGTGAAGTTAAAAACTGTAAAATACACCAACTCCGGGGAAACTTACAGGGCTTATTTTACATAGATAGCTTGAATCTGCATGTGCCTATATATCACCACCAACACAGAATTTCTCACCTTATTGTGTAAAACACTATCATCGCCATCAGAAGAACCCATCTTCAAGAAGTCCTTATTTGTTACGACTTAATAACCGTCTCCTAACTACTGATTTCAAGTAATCGCGGCATATTATGCAAGACTGTGTAACAACAAACTACTGGAAGCTCTCCTTTACGCTTCGCAAGGAAGAATGCCCCCTTCATTTCCTGACAAAGGAAACCCCCTTTTGAATGCTTTCTGCTAATTCTTTCTTTGCCTTCTCCAACCCAGACCTACCAATACAATTACACATCGTGAATTTGCGGAAGTTGGTCGCGTTGTTGTATGATAGAGTACAGAAATTTACTTTACCTTTCGTACTCGTTAAGGGGGCCAAGTGGGTAAATTTCTTCTACTCCAGCACGACCAAGCCGTACTTTTGATGCAAAGAAAGGAAGCTCTGTCACCTGTGAATATAAAGAAGAGAAGATCGAAGTTTCAGTAAATGCCATGACCAACCAATATCATTTGGAACTGTATGTAATAAGAGAGATCCATGCAAACAAGCGTTTGATAGTAGAGCATACTTGAGAGGATACATAGGCGCACTCAACGACACCAGCATCTCCTCTTAAGCCCCTAAGACAAGCATCTGCAAATTTAACAGCAGCATAGGCCTGCAGTTTTCATGGAGGGTAGTGAATCATTGTTCACAAGTTCACGTCTTTGTACCGCGAAAGAATTTCTGCTTCAAAATAAGATGATTTAGATATAGATTGCAGCAACCTACCATGGATAGAGTTGCAGAACCAGTGCCCGCTTTTGCCTGCCAAAGGTTCAGCGAGTCAATCCAAGGAGATATATAAAATTATAGAAACAGGAGGAATAAAAAAGCGCATTACATTAGTTTCGCTTGATTTAAACAACTTGATTCCCTGATTAATCTGATTTCAGCTATGGAACCAAACACTGAATTTATGACACTACAAATTGGCCAACTATGGAAGGTGTACTACGAGGTTTCTTCATGGATGAAGTAAATTGTAATGGAGGAATGTGCTTAGTCCTATCCAACTTCATGTAAAGCATGGAGAATATTATACAGTATCGCCAAAACCCATCAACTTCCATGAACTTCTCATGGAGAACAAACAGTGTCCCCAAGCACTTGAAATGGAAGGGTTCAGATATATACCATCTCAATTACCTCAGAATCATCCCATAATCCATGATCTCCTGAGAGGGTACTAGATAGTGTTTCAGCCAAGACAGTAATAAGAAAAAGAAAGGGAATTCGAAAGAATCAAAGTATTTTCCTTTAAGCAGCTTAAACGACTGTGATTATAGGTTAACCAATGCCCAAAAACTAAGAGAGCATTCTGTAAGGGCTATAAACTGCGAAAACATCACCAAAAAATTGCCTAATAGCTAAATGTTTGTCCAAAAGGTTAACCATGACATTGTCCAAACAACCAACTAACATGAGTACAAAATTTAACAACCAGAAATAGGACATCCATGTTAAAGCGACTCGGTCAGTTTGTCATCTTAGATCCCGCGATAGAACAAATTGAGCCTTGAATGAACTGAAAGCATTTAAATCAACATAAATTCTCACCTCAACAACTTCAGTACCACCATTCTGAATGCGATCAGTCAAGTAATCGATTTCTTTCTGGGTGAAAGAGCATGGAGGTTTAACCTGCAGAGACCAGCATAGTGAGCACTTATGTAAAGTTGAAAAAATAGTACCATCCTCGAAAATTCAGAAAATCTGAATCTGGCTTGAACCTGAGACAGAAGAGGTAAAATGGTAACTCCTGCATGACCCCCAACAACTGGACAATCGACTTCCCTTGGATCAAGACCCAAAACCTCTGCCTGCAACCAACAATTCATAGGAGAGAAAAATATATAGATGAAATACATAATTAGAATAAGAAAACAGCGAAAAATCCATTAGTAAGCAAAAAGTGCATCATGAGAAAAAGTGCAAGCAGTAAGGTCTACCAGTTAATATGATACTGATAGAAACACGTTTTCGTGATTCTATCATAATAATAATAATTATTATTATTATTAGGATATTTACAAATAAGGATAGTAGTCTTTTAGTAGAATTAGGTTTATTATTAGGTTTTTCTATCTTTCCTATAAATATGTAATCTGGATTTCATTATCAATCAAGCAAGAACAATTATTTAGAAAGTATCTCTCCCAAAACCCTAATCCTCTATCTCCTAATTTCTCGTACTCTAGCCCTATAAGGCTTCGGCCGATTCTACCTTCTATTCTTCTTCTTCCTCTAATTCCCAATCTCAATCCCTATTCCTATCTTCTAATTCTCAATTCTGTTCTTCCCCAAATCTATCCTCAAATCCCTAAGTTCCCAATCACCCTCACAATCGATAGAACCCTAGAAATAGCGTTCTATCAGATACTTTTGTCTAATCAATCAACAGCAATCAGTAATTTCAGCAAAACATTCTGCTATTTTCACCCTCAATATCCAGCATACATTATTACGAGAAGGCTACTAGAGTAAGAGTTAAGAGCACCCTGTCGACTATAGAAATCAAAATCATATTGTGTGATTTCTATAAAGAACTAGATTCCAGCAAAATCATTTTACCTTTTACAGCAACTAGCTTACGTAAGATTATTATCCTGCACGGATGTTAATCTTACTTCTGGAAAGTCTTGAAGGGAAGACAGAAAATAAAAGCAGATGAGGAACTCAGTTTAACAACAGAGACTTCATACTTGCTTCTTACCACAAAGGTATTAGCTCTGACAACGTCAAGCATTGTGACTCCCAAAACCCGCCTTGGATCATAAGTTCCAGCTTTCTTGAAAACTTCAACCTGCAATTGGTACAGTTGAGTTTACAGGATTACTAATTATATTGACGATGGCCTGAGGAGAGCACTTAGCAATTGCTTCACAGAGTGTCTTAACAATTCCAGCATTGATGTTGAACAGATCATCCCTCGTCATTCCTGGTTTTCTAGGGACACCAGCAGGTATGATCACAACATCAACTCCCGTAACAGCATCTTCCAATTGCTGCTGCCCTAAGAACCCGCGTACCTTCGACAGAAGAAAAAGAAAGAAACACCATCAACATGTTGCACTTCCATTGACAGAATATATCAAGTAGAAGCCACTAGAGATTTAGCAAGACAGTAAACTCAGTAGTTCAATGCAGCTGAATAGTGAATAAAATAAGTATCCTTCCATTCAAAACAAATCAAACAAAACAAAACTTTTGGTCAAATATTGACAAAGATTGAATTTGGGTGATATTCCCTTCATTCAAGGACTCCATCTCAGATTAGAGTGTGCAGAGGAGAAGCAGTCGTCAACGGATTGAGGGCGCCACTCTACTAAACCGTTACCAGCACATTTCTGTCTTGACAAATTAAACTAAAAAAATATGTTCCAGTAACTAGCTAGCGAATTATGGAGTTTCGTTTGCAGTCTGCAGGCAATCCCTATCCAAATTTCAACGAAGCAAAACAATAAAACAAACTATGGAAGTCGCAATTGAACCAATCGATTTCACAAAACAAAAGGCTTCCCTCGTAGTTGTCTTACCACAGCACCAGTATCCATGTGACTAATATCAGCAGTGACGCCAGGAGTATTGACTACATCATACAAATGAAGAACAGAGACCAGTGGGTTCATCTTCATCAACATCGCCAGCGGCTGCCCAATCCCACCTGCGGCTCCCAGTATCGCCACCTTAAACCCGGAAGACCCGCCTTTCGCCCTGCAATTCCACCGGGCAGGGCCCGAACTCTCCTCCATCTGCGCGTGTTCGAAACAAACATGATACGAAAATAGAACTCATCATTCGAGACGGGAAACCCAGATAGAAAGTACAATTATTTTTCTCCTTTTAAGGAAAATGGGAATCAGACCTTGGTATTGGGAGGGGCAAGGTGGGCAGCGATCCTCGCAATGCGCTGATTAGGCTCTGAAGAACACGAAGCCGGCTGCATCTTTCACCGACGGAGATTTAAAAAAATTAAGAGCTCTGATGAAGATGATGAACGAGGTAGCGATCCTTGTGAATTAGCGAAGGCAAATATAGGTAGCTATGGACAGAAGTTGGGATGCGTGCAAACTGGGAAACCTATCTTATCTGATCTCCGCTGCTGCTTCAGAAATGCTATAATTTTTTATATTCAAGCAAATTGCATCACCTCGAGACTTCCCTCCACGTTGGTTGCTGACGATTTGAGATGATGATGATGAGTAATTAATTCGGAAATTTTGCTGGAGATTGGGATTTTAGAGGGGAACTAGAAGAAAGACGTGTGATTGTTTTCGGGGAAGGAAGGAGAAGGGAGTGGAAAGCTGAGAAAGGGACGATTGGGCTAGGCAGCCAAAAGTGTTATGGGCCAGAAACGCGAGTGGGCTGAAATCTTTAATTTTACAATTTGTGAAACAATTTTGTTGGGCTCAGAACCAAGAAGGCCCAGATCACATGCCCCAAGAGATTGGGCCGGCAGACCCATCAATGGGCTGGCTCATTCCTCCCGTGTCCCAACTAGGGTTTCAGTTCGGGTCGGGTTCGGTTACCCAAGCCGAAACCCGAAAAAACCCGAAAACCTGAAACCGAAAAATCACTAAAACCGAACCCGGACCCGATAAGGACTTGCGGGTTTCGGTTACCCGAAACTCGAAAATTCCTTAACGGATTCGGGTTCGGTTAAAGCAAAACCGAAACCCGAAAACCCAAACGCCTAAAAATACGGGCTGAGTTCTATTCATTTGAGGTTTTTAGCCGGAACCCGAAAAACCGATAAGCAAAACCAAACCCGAAACCGAAAAACCGAGAACCCGAAACGAACCCGAACCCGAAAAACCAAAAATGTATATAATCGGGTCGGTTTCGGGTAAACCCGAAAAACCGAACCCGAATTGACACCCCTAGTTCCGACCCAAGGAGAAGGTGATAGTTAGTACCCTTGCCGCCTCAGACAGCGACCACGAGATAGATGGGTAAAGTCAAATCTAGGCGTAGATGCCGAAGATAGGGAATGACTTCATGCACTGTCAGAGGGGAGCGAATATGGTGACAACACCATATTTGTTGTTATTGTAACAACAACATAGGTGGACCAATAGAAACCCACCATTGTGCATACTTTTCAATTTCATGCGTTGACTAGGGTAAAAAAACAAAGGAATGGTATTTTTGTCCTACCGAAAAATTGCAGCTTCTTTTGTCCGAAAAACTGTAGCTCGTTTCTCTCTCCCCGCTTCATTCTCTCTTCAATCGCGTGGCGCCAAGGCTGAACGAAAACACCACCGCAACGGCGGCGACGAGATCCTGATCGCAGCAGCTACCGCAACGGCGGCGACAAGATCCTGATCGCAGCAGCTACCGCAACAGCGGCAATGGCGGAGCGAGCTCCTAATCGCAGCTAACGTAACAGCGGCGACAGAGGATAAAATCAGGCCGCAGCAGCTCATAACACCACGACGACACAACGATTTACTCCAACTCGCATTATTCAAAGAGAAAACAACAATTACGACAAGTCATTGACGATGGACGAGAATCATGTAGATGAAGTTTCTGTTGGTTCTGTAGATGCTCAACAACTCCTGCAAATTGCAACATCTTCTGACAATGCAACAAAAAGCGTATATCAGCTGGAAACCTCTATTTCCACCAACAGTGCCAACAATGAACAAGAAGAAGGTACACTCAAATCAATCCTTCCTGTTTTCTTACAATGAGCACTACAATCACGCTTATACAAGCCATTTACAATATCATAAGCCGTACCAACCAAACCGCCCACAAAAATCCCACAAACGATACCAAAAGCATCGCCAAATACACCACATTCTTCCCAAAACAATCCACAGGAAAAAAAGACAATCAACCAAAGCACTTAAAAATCAAACCACAAACCTTCTTAAACGCACCAAAACACCTCCAATGCACACCATTAAAACCTAAATCATTACATTTCGCAATCTGTTTGTAAAAAAAATTATACACTGTAATCCAAACCATAAATGTTATAAAAGCATCATGAATAACTACACTGCAAACCACTTTTCACTTTTCTAGTAAATATCATCGCAAAATGAAATGATCAAGTGCTCATTTCTTTCATCATTGCTTACAAGTGTGAAATCAAACAGATCCAAGTCAGACTACACTAGTTTGGGGTTGGCATTCAAAACCATTGAGGAAATAAAACAATTCTACAAGAACTATGCTCACGATCTTGTCTTCGGCGTGAGGGACATGGGAGCTGTCAAACGTTTTACAAAACGCCAGCCAACCAAAACAACACGATATGCTACGTATTGCTGCAACAAAGAAGGATACAAGACGACAAGCAAGTCAAATCCCAAGAATAAAGGATCAATCGATGTCAAGGCTTATCAACGTGCTATACCAGAAACTAGAGTTGGCTGCCTAGCTATAATCAAATTCAGATTTGATATCAAGAAGGATGAATGGTTGCTGGACAAGTGGATAACATAACACAACCATGATCTCCTCCCTCCAAAATTCAAACACCTGTTGAGGTCAAACAAGGGGATCTCAGAAATGCATGCAATGGTCGCACAAGTGCATACAGATTGTGGAGTTTCACTACGAAAATCATATGAGTTGTTCGCCACAACTTCCGGGGGAGGGTGAATGTACCTTTTACCCCTCATGATCTGAAGAACTATATCACAGGGACAAGGCATAAATCAATGAAACCATGCGAAGCAACTATACTTCTTGAACATTTTCGCCAGGAAGCTTACAAGAATCCATCATTCTTCTATGAAATTGAGGTAGATAGTAACGAAGATATTTCAAGTATATTCTAGGATGATGCAAGAATGCAGTTCGACTACAGTTGCTTTGGATATACGATCAGTTTCGACACCACATACAAGACAAACCAGAATTATCGTCCACTAGGTCCGTATTCCTTGCACTAGTTAATTTTTTTGAGATTTCGAAGTTGAATGCATACCAAACATTACGCAATGCATACCATAAGTAACATAAAACTACCCCAAAAACTCTTAAAACAAACGACAAAAAAAACATGAAACACTCTTTTTCAGAATACTAACCAGAAACCTCCTAAACCACACTAAACACGTCATGAAACACGCCATGTATATCATAAAAGACAGTCTGTATTTGTTTCAAGGGTAATGTCTATTTTTTATCCAAACCTTTTTCAGATTCTTTTATATTGTCCAAACTTATCGAAATACTAAGAATTAGCCAAATGATAACTTTCAGTTAGCAATTTTGTTAGTAATATTGACTTGGCAACATGATACTGACTTGGAAGAGGCACATGTAAGTCAACAATGCAAAATTTTAGTATTTTAACTAAAAAAAGAGTCACAAAATTATTAAAGATTACGTAAAAATGGATAATATTTTGATGCATTATGAAAGATTTGGCTAATTCATAGAATTTTAATATATTTGGATAATATAAAAGAATCTGGAAAAAGTTTGGAAAAAAAACATTGACATTACCCTTGTTTCAATACTTAATTCTATGTTGTTCTTTTTTCGAAGTTGAATGCATACCAAACATTACGCAATGCATACCATAAGTAACATAAAACCACACCAAAAACTCTTAAAACAAATGACAGAAAAAAAAAAAACATGAAACATTCTTTTTAAGAATCCTAACCAGAAACCTCCTAAAGCACACTAAACACGTCCTGAAACACACCACCATATATATCATAAAAGACAATCTGTGTTTGATTCAATATTTAATTCTATGTTGTTCTTTTATTTTATTTTTAAATTACAGCTTTGTTTGTTGGCTGCAACCACCATCGCGCACTGTGCATCTTCTGGGCTGCTCTCCTATATGATGAAACAACCGCTACATTCAAGTGGTTGTTTGATGCATTCTTGAAATGTATGTCAGGCACCTGACCAACATAAATATTCACCGACCAAGCTGCTGCAATCGCCACTGGAATTAGATCCGTCATTCCCGAAGCATTCCATGGCTTGTGTACTTTTCATATCAAGAAGAATGGAATGAAGCATCTCGACACCACAAACACAAACATTCTAGAAGATCTAAAATATGTCACTTTTGGAGTAGAAAACGACGAAGAATTTGAGTACAATTGGTTAAGGTTGCTAGACACATATTATCCAGAAGAAGGCACCAATCCAAGAAATTGGTTGGATTCAATTTACAAGGTGAGGAAACAGTTGTCTTCAGCATGGGTTAAGGACCACTTCACAGCTGGTATGCGAAGCTCACAGCTGAGTGAGTCTTGTAACATCAACCTCCGAAACTACCTTCAACCAGATGACAACCTAGTTGAGTTCTTCACATACTTCCACAAGTTGCTCGAACGGAAAAGATTAGACGAAATGTATATGGATTATCAAATGGCAACCTAGTTGAGTTCTTCACATACTTCAACAAGCCTTGTAACAGCAACCTCCCAAACTACCTTCAACCAGATGACAACCTAGTTGAGTTCTTCACATACTTAAACAAGTTTTATACTGTAGAATGCATCCACAAGTCTCATTGTTCAAACAAAAAACAATAGCAAACACCCCACAATTGATATAAAACCCTACCAGAATAGTTGTATACAAACTAGACACCACCTAAACCAACCCAGATACCCTACAATCCACACCACAGACTACCTAATACAACTCATAAACACCACAATGCACACCGCACGAGCTTAAACAACCCATGAACTCCACAATCCACACCACACACGACTTAAAATAACCCATAAATCCCACAATCCGCACCACAAACAGTACAGTACATACCATAAAATCATTAATGTAGACAAGATGCTTATGAATAATTGTATGTTGTATGTCATCTTCCAACATGTATGAAAGAAGCCCACTTGTTCAGCAAGTCGCAAAATTATACACAACTAAGATCTACAGTTCTTTCCTTGAGGAGTATTCAGAAAGCCTTGCTTTTTTTGTGTTCGGAATGAATCTATGGACAGAAATGGAATGACCGCTTATGAAATGAAGAAACTGGGAGGATTCGGCAAAAGAGTCATGTTAGTGAACAAAGAGGAGAAGAAATACAAGTGCTCATGTCATTTGTTTGAAAGTTCAGGCTGGTTGTGCAGACATATAACAGGCAGATAGAGATGGTTGTATTTAATGGTGATGATATTGAGCAATTAACTATCCCTAAGGAATACATACTGCCACGATGGATGAGAGATGCCAAATCTGGAGAGAAGTTCACAATAAACACAACAGAATGTGCTGCAACAGATACTTATGCAGGGAGGTATCAAGAACTGTGTGCTAGCATGGTTA